GTACAAAATATATAAAAAAAAAAATATATCCAACTGGGCAACGTAGTTCCACAGACTGGGTATACGAGTAGAGAGAAAACATCCCTTTTGGTTCATATCCGATATCACGATTCGTTCCGAAGATATGAGCATACAAATGTTTAAGGGCAACGTTTGACACAGTGACCTAGTTACGCGTGTCAGCTGCGTGTCTAGACCGATCGATAGATATTAGGATAGGCTCGTGTGAAAAGGACAACAATAGCACCACTGAAAAAAGTATGCTTACACGACGATATCTCCGGAACCAAAAGTCTGATCGAAATGAACCAAATGGCAGTTTAAAGAGGATGCTTCCTCGCTTCGAATATTGGCAATTTATATTATATTGTTTAATTATTTATTGCAAAATTGTGGAGATCGAAATATAAAATCCATACAATTATAAGTCTACTCGTACACCTCTTCTGTGGTGGTCAAACGCAACACATGCACGGGCAAGTGTGAACTTCCGAAGCGCACGCAAACGAAAACGAACGGGAAATTAAAGATCGCGTTTCAGTTATTCGAAATCAAGCGACTGGCTTCATCTACCTCGAATGACGAGCGCGATCCCCGACGATCTTCACGGTTGGACTATAAAAAAACCGGGACCAGAGAAAAGAATGTTAAAAGAATGTGAACTTACGTTGGCGCAGGTGACTTAGCCTTCAATATCTTCTTTGTGTCTTTCACGGCTTTGATCTGTCTCGCTCTGCATACGCGGTCCACGTCGGATTGCCTGCGACTGGTGTTCTCCATAAATTCTCTATGGTCCGCGATGAGCATCTCCAGCGTGGCTTTGTCGTCCGGCAAAGGTTCAGCCTCCAGAGCGTTCAAAGTGTTCTCTAGACCTTCTAGCCAAGACAACAGCTCTTCGAGAAGATTGTCGAGGTCCTGAGAAATTACAAACATCGAACACGTGATTAAATTAATTTATGCATATAAAGATATAATGAATTCAGAGATATTTACCTGAAGTCCTCGCATATGTTTCTCCAGTCTCTCGTTCCTCTGATGAGCCCACGTGGCAACCTCCTCCCATCTCGATTGAATGATCGTGATCCAGTGCTTAATGACTAAAGCTCCATCCGGATGAGATTTTGCGAGGATCTCATGAGCCAAATCCAAAGTGCGATCTTTCTCAATTTCCTTCGTACGCAATTCGCGCAGGAACTTCTCGTGCTCCATCAACTGATTCCTGCTTTCTTGTTCGTCTTCTGGTAACTGTCCAGCGAACCTCAATTTCATTTCAGCGTCACTCAGCCACTCGAGGAGCACGTGTACCGCCTTGTGGAGACGTTCGGCTTCCCTGAGGGCCTCTTCGAGCCGCGCAGTCTTATGGGACGATAATCGAGTCACAGTGTTCCATAGATCGTTCAGCTGAGCGAGCTGCGATCCAATGGCTGAAGCATCGTCCGGTGTCGCCTTGCCGAGAAGCTCGCGACCTGTCTTGATCACGGACTCCATCTGAGACGCTCTGGATTCGAGGTCCTTTTCAAAGGTCTTGTGTTGGTCCACCAAATTCATGACGGTGTCAAGATCGCCGTGAAGCGGTCCGGTGCTCGCCAATTGTTTTTCAGACTTGCTGAGCCATTCCAACAATGCCTGAATAGCGTCCTTGAACTGTCCCGAGAACAGCAAAGCTTCTTCCAGCTTCCTCTGTCTATCCACACATTTCCCGCAAACTATGGTCCATTTGTTCTTCAACTCGTGTAACAGCTCTTTCAACGCGAATTCGTCGCTCTTGGGTGCTTTATCTTTCAAAGTCTTCCCATTCTTCATGGTGGTGTCATAGGTGCCTTGCTTGGCACTGAGAGCTTTCTGCAGTTCGCGGTGTTTATTCAACCTCGCCTTGATTCTCTCAGGATCGTTTCCGAGACTGCTATCGGCGGCATATTCATCGAGAATCTTTTCTGTCTCATCCAGCCAGTTCATCAGGGTAGACCAGGCGTCGTGGAACTCTCTGGCTTCTTTGTATCCGTGATCCAAGGCTCGCGTTCTCTCGGCAGACTTCGAAACCACTCGCTCCCACCTGTGCTGCACGCTTATCAACAAATTCTTGATGAGAATCACGTCCTGCTTCTGCGAGAAGTACTTCAAGTGCGTGCCCTTCTTATCGAGGTTCAGCATAGTCTCACGATGAACTCCAACGTCCTTCTGGAACGCCTTGTGTTCTTCTATTTGGCCCAGAATAGTTTCCATCACCCTCGATACGGGTTTCAAATTAGTTAGAATCTTTTCTGCGTTGGTTAACCAATCGACGAATGCCTGGAGTGCATCGTGGAACTCAGTGGCCTCCTTCAGAGCGATTTCGAGTTTGATCTTCTTGTCGTTCGCGCGAGCGGTCACGTTGTCCCATCGTTGTTTCAAGGTCCTCAAATTGTGATTCAATCCGCCGGCGCTGTGGGTATCGGCACGCTTCAAGTACTCCTGTCCTTGGTGAAGCACCGTTTCCACTTTCGGACGATTCTGTTCCAGTTCATTATAAACTTCCATGAACCGCTCTAGTTGTTCTGACGCCGTTTCTGGTAATCCTCCGACCGGTTTCGAAGCGACAATGGTGTTGTCCACGTCGCCGAGCCAAGACAAGAGATCTTGAATCTCCGCTGTGAACGATTGAGCTTCTTTCAACGCGTCTTCCAGTTCTCGTTGACGGTCAGCCGCGCGTTGCAACAAGTCGCGCCAACGACGGTTCAGAGTTCCTAGTTTCTCTGCAGTCGTCGACGCTTCGGCCGTTCCCTTTCCGTCCTCGATCAATTGTCTCCCGGCGTCGTTCAGAGTATCCACGCTCGTTTGATGCGCTTGAATATCATTCACTAATACTTTCAATTTAGCTAATTCCACTTCGATCACTTGAGGATCTCCGGCGACGGCCTTCAGATTGTCCAGGGTGTCGTCCGTCTTCTCGATCCATACCAACAGCTCGTCCAACGCGTGCTGGAATTGTCCTAGACGCAGCAACGCGTTCTCCAGGAGTCTTTGCCTTTCTACGAGCCCTCGAAGCAATCCGTCCCATCGTTTGTTCACCGCGCCAAGCGGTTCTTTTATAGCAGCTGCTTGTTCCGACGATGTTCGTTCGGTTAGTTCAGCGGCTTGTCTGAAATATTACGCGAGGCAAGTTGCAGGATTTCTGCTTACGATGCTGGATTGGAAGTGTACGCATCAATGTCAGAAAGCGTACACCCGTTTGGTTCGCGTTTAATGTTTAGTCATGATGAACACAGGGTTGAACGAATTCTACGGGATAGGAAAACCACACGTGTTGCGTGTATTAAATTGTCCAAAAAAGTCGCAAAATTTATTCTGAGTAAAAATGCTGCGCAATGAAATATAAACGGGCTTGTAAATTGGAATGAGTTTTTTGGACAATTCAGTAAAACGGGCACGTCAGGAGCCAGGCTACAGCCAAGGCAGACATGCAACTGACCAAACAACTGTTCGCCTGCCGAAAGAAAGAGCTGTTCGAACTGCAGCCAACGGAACTAAGTTAAGGACTTCGATTATTCGACCTCAACTGGGATATTACGGCACAGTTACGGAAATTACGTGATTAAAGGGGCCATTCGGGTACCACCTGGATCAAATATCGTGCTCGACGATCCAAGATACAATATGTAAGACAAAGGGGTTTAAGCCATGCTCTAACTACTGCTACAACACAGAGAGAGATCGACTTGCCTTGTCAGACTCCTATGCGTTCAGGAACCGGCGCGGAAAAACAAAAGTTGGGATTAGAATATCTCTGTTTTACACTTTAGTCGACTGTCGTTGCGTTAACAAATGGTGCATCGCGCGGTCGATGCGCAATCATTTAGTAGGCACAGATCGGTGGAAAAACGCGTACGGGGAACTCGAGAAATTCCGTGAAAGATCACAAACGTGAATTCGAAAAAAAGTCGTACCGGGATGATCAATCAGAGAGACGGAGGAAGACAGAAAGAATCATGGTTACCTGTTAAGAGCTTCGACCTTGACCATGTGAGGATCTACTTCAGCCTTGAAATTAGCCAACTGTTTGATCTGTTTCTTAACTTCGTCGATGTCGCTTCCGAGCGGTCCCATGCGGGCGAACTTCTCCTCGGCCTCTTGCAAGAACTCCAAGAGATTTTGCAGAGTCTCGTGGAACTCCATCGCCTTCTCCATAGCGTCGATCAGGTTCTCCTCTCGCCTGGCGTAGAGAGCGGTCACGTTGTCCCAGGCTTGGTCCAGATCCTCGATGTGTTTCCTGACTTCCGGTTTGTCCGGCTCACCGCAGAGACCCATCAACTCGTGACCGGAAGCCCTGACCTGTTCCACGTCGGGCTTCGTTTGATCGATCTCATTTCGAATCTCTTGAAGAGCGACTTGCTGTTGTTGAATGGCAGCAGGCTGAGCCGCGGGAGGTGCCTGACCCGCGAGAGCATCTTGCAACTCTCGCAGGGTCGACATCACGCCGTTCAGCTCGGACCAGAACTTCTCTGCGATTTGCAAAGCGTCGTCGAGAGTGAGACCTCGGTCGGTGGTCGCCTTCTGTACCTCGCTCCATAATTTATTCAATTTCTCCAGCTTTCGTTTGATATCTTTTACAGCTGGGTCTGCCCTGTTGCCGGCTTTGCTGATCACGTCGTCGGCTGCTCTTCTTACGGCCGCGAAGGCTTCGGATCGTTGAGCCAGGTCGTCGATCAGAGCAGAATTCTCTTCCATCTGATCTCTCAGTCGACCAGGATGCGCGCTGATGGGTTCGGCACCGTGAACTTGGTCAGCCGTCGACGTAAGAGCTCGCAACATGCCTTCCAATTTGTCAGAGAACTGAGAGGATTCTTGGAGCGCTTGTTCGAGGGTCTGCTGTCGTTTACGTAATTCTGCTCTGAGCGCTGCATATCGGGCAGTGTCCGCTTCGAGGATATCTTGAATTTTAATGCCCTCTTCTTCGTTACACAGCTTCAGCAAAGCTTCACCGGTCTTGTTCAGTTTCTCCACTAGAGGTTTGTGTTCGTTAATGCTCTGCATGAGCATTTCGTTCTTATCCTGTTGGACGGCTATCAAATCCGGTCTCAATGCGGGCATCGGAAGCATCGCGACTTGCTGTTCGGCTTCTTCTAACCAGCTGACCAAACCGACGTGAGTATCACGCAGATGTTCAGCCAGAGGTAGAGCCTGTTCGAGTGCTCCAAGCCTGTCCGCTGAGAGACCAGAGACGATCTCCATCGTTTCTCTGAGGTCCTCCATCTTCTCTCGAATCGTCGACGTGTCTTCATGTTGGCCGTTCTCGCGAATCACTTTCTTTGCAGTGGATATCACATCCCTGACGCGTCCCTTCTGGCTGGATATGTCATCGTTCAATGCCTTGTGTTCCTTCAGCTGTACTCTGATGATCTCCGGTTCACTGCTTGGTGGTTCCGCTTCTCTCAACTGATTATCCACTTCGCGGAACCATTCGAGTAGATCGTCGATGTCACCGATCACTTCTAGAGAACGTTGCTTGCTCAGCTGGATCCTCTCAGCCTTTCGTTGGATCTGTTCCGCGATGGCATCGAAACGTCTGTTGTCTCTGGTGACCAGCCCTTCGATAGTCGCAGCTCCTTCACCTGGTGACAGTTGAGACAGCTGCGGACCAACCGCGTTGATCTTATCCAGGACGGGCCTGTACTCAGAAATCTCCATCTCCAATCGAACGATCTCGTCCTCGCGAGGTTCCGCAGATTGCAGAGCCGATTCCGCGGCCTGCATCCAATCCATCAGGCGATTATGGTTGTCGTGGAACTGTTGAACCAACGGTAAGGACTCCTGCGCGTGTTTCAGTAAATCTGATCCACGACTGACTAAATCGTTGAAGCGCCGTTGCAGGGAATCGAGTTTGTCTTTCAACTGGAGAGCCTCGTCGCTCGAGATGTGTTTCATCAATTCTAATCCAGCATCAGTAGTGCTGTCTACTTCTGTTTGTCTGGTCGAGACCTCTTCAGTTAAATCGGCAAGATCTTCCATTTGTTGAAGGAGCTTCTCCGTGTGCACGGCGAGGATTCTGTATTTGGATAGCCTGATCTCCATGCCCTCCATCCATGCCTGCAGCTCTTGGTAACTGAGGACCAGGTGACGTAAACCTTGCCGCGATCGTTGAAGCAAGCTTCCGAGGGCTTCCGATCGTTCTACTAGAGCGGCGTATCTATCGGCCGCGTCTTGGAGCTTGTCAGCTAAGGTAGCGGCTTCGTCCTCGCCTACCAGAGCCATCAGCTGGCTAGCGATCTCCGTGAGTTCACCAAAATCTGGATTCCTCGAGAGAATGTCTTCGTGAAGAGCGTCGTGTTCCGTAACACGTTGTTGGATCTTCTCTTCGTCAGTTGGAACAAGTTCCATGTCCCTGACGCGTTTCTCAGTCTTGTCTAGCCAGATCGCAAGCGGTATCAGCTTGTCTTGGAATTGTTTCGCGACACCCATCGCTTGTTCGAGCGCCTCCATTCTTTCAGCAGCGCTCTCGGTTAGATTGTCGAATCTTCCAACCAGTTCTTTCAATTGTTTCTCGATGATCTTCCGTTCTTTGGGATCTGCGCCAGCCGCCACTTCCTGGCCCATGTTGTACAAAGAGGACATCGAGTTCTGTCGGTCCATCAGCATTTTCTTCAAGAACTTTTGTTCCTGTAGCTGCGCCTTGACTACCTTGTAGTCTGACGAGGGCGGTTTCTGGTTGGACACCATTTCTTCTGTATCTGTCAACCATTTCTGGAGACCCTCTAGAGCCTCCTGGAATTTTCCTGACTGAAGAAGTCCCACGTCCAACTTCCGATCTCTTTCGTTCATCCTCTCCTTCAGATCGTTCCATCTCTCGTTCATCTTATCGACATCCTTCTCGATATTTCCAGTATTGACGTCGCGTCCGGCAGTCTGAATCAGCGACTGGCCAACGGCGTTGCAATCCTCAACGGCGCGAGCTAGTGGTTCTATCTTGTTCAACTTGAGAAGTCGGAAGTCTTCCTGTTGCGCTTTTATGGACTCAACTTCGGATCCCACTGGCTTGAACTTCCTCACCTGATCGTGGGCTTCGTCGATGTCGGCCATCACGTTGGCGTGCAGCTGGTAAAATTCTTGTAACTTGTCCAAGGTTGCGGTGAGTTCTTCGTGACGATCTCGTGAGCGATCATCAAGCTTCCCGATCTGTCGTTTGAGACCCGCGACCTGTTCCCTGGTTGCGACAGCGTCCGCCGCAAAACCATAGTCGACGAGCCGTTCTCCGAGAGCCTCCAAACCGGTATATTCCTCGTACAGGCGAGTCACCTTGGTAATAACTTTGCTGGTTTCCTCTATCTGAATTCGCACAATCTTGATCTCTCTACCGGCAGCTCTCATCGAATCTAATTCTCTCTCAAGATTGGAGATCTGTTGACTGATCGCCTTGACTTGATCGTTGAACTGCGCGACGGCAGTGGCTGCACTCTGCAAATCATTGCACCTGTCGTCGAGTGCAGCCTGGACGTCGTTGATACGATCGCTGAGATTGTCCACTTCGTCTTGCAAGTGCGTCGCGTCCACCCCTTGCTCGCCGGCCGTGTTCACCAGATCGTTGGCTTGCTGTTTCACGCATTGCAGAGGTTTCTTCAAGTTCGCAGTTTCTTCTCGTAAACTCTGTAACGAAACGAACATGTAAAATTGTTGTCTTTTGGCGTTCAGCGATTAATTTACCTTTATTCTATCGAGAAGTTTCGGATCTTTAGCTGCTCCACCGAGAGCGTCGTGAGATGCAAGCTTGTCCTCGCAACGCTGCAAGCTGTGTCGTAGTTCTCGCAGATTTTCATTGAAGTCCATCAAGTGCCTTGCGGTATCCTCCAACGACTGCGTTCTTGCTATCAGATCTGTAACGATAATTAAATCACAACATGAATAAACAAATAAAAAGATAATTTTTATCCGAACATACCATTGTTTAATTTATCCCATCTGGTCTTCATTGCACCGAGCTCGTTCTTCACATTCTGCTTGTCGATGTCGCAGGCTCCCAGGAAGGTTTCACCGAGAGTCTTGTTATTCTCAAATTCACCGGAGTGTTTCCATACTTCGTTTCGGAACGAAGATAATTCTTTTAATTGCTTCTCGATGTCCTTGCGCTTGAAGGAAGCCGGTTTCAAACACTCCAGCCGGTCTTCAGCTTGTCGTAGCCACGGGAGGAACGCGTCTTGAGCTTTGTAATACTTCTTACAATGTTCCGCGCACGTCTGCAGTTTGGTGTGTCTGTCGAGCATGTCCTTCTTCAGACGATCCCACTGCGACTGCATCTTGTCCAAGTCGCGTTGAAGAGATCGGTTCTCAATCTTCTGAGATCGTGCTAACATGTCTCGCCCTTTGTTTAAGAGCATGATGACCTCGTGTTCTTTGCTCATCACGTTCCTGTACATAGGTTCATGATGATCCAATTGTTGTTGAAGGATATCCCTGTCAGCTGACACTAGCAGCTTCTCAGACATGTTTCCGAGTTCGTCAGCGAGCCATCCCAGGGTCTTCGTACAGGAAGCTTCGAACTGACGGCCATCGCGCAAGTTACCCTCGATCTCAGCCTTCTTATGGTCCAATTTCTTCTGCAGATTGGTATACAGTTTTCCAACGGCAGCCAATTTTCCGTGAATTTCTGATTTTGAGGCTTGGTCGCTTAGTACTTCGCACAATTGTTCTCCAGATGCCTCAGCGTCGGCCAGAAGTGGTCGTTGGCCTTCCAACTGTCTCTCAAGATTCTCTATCTTACGAAGCTGATCTTCAGGATCCTTTTCGAGGGTCAATTCGTCGAGATTGTCGGAAATAGCTTGGAGAGCATCGCGCAAGCGGTTTAAGCTTGCGTCAAATTCGCGGCTGGTATCGACCGCGTCTCCCAAACTCTGTGCTCTTTCATCCAGACGAGCTAATTGATCTGACCATTTGTCCAGAATAGATCGTAACTTAGCGTTCGTTCTTTGGCCGTCAGCGGAATCGGTTCCCACCACCGCCAAGATATTCTCCCCGACTTGAATCAAGTGATCCAGTTGCGGTTGTTGAGTACGGAATTCTTCCCTCAATACTTGGACCTGCTGTACTTGGCTAGCAACCATCCTGGGATCGGCTGAGATCGGTCCCAATGCACCCAACATTCTTTCCTTCGATCCTAGCCACGAAGCTAAACCTTCAGAAGTATCGTAGAAGTCCTTCACATCGTCTAAGAACTTGATTCTGTCTTTACAGCGTTCGCTGAACGATCTCCATCGGCTGGTCACGTTCTCCATTTCGTCGTTCAGTCTGTCCACACCGTGTGCGCCCTTCTTGCGTCTGACCAAATCGCGAACTTGAGTTCGAGTAGTGTCGAGCAACGATTGTTTCTCGTACATCTCTTCGATCACAACCTTGATCTGTTTGACTGTCTTATCGGCCTCTTCTTTCGTGCTCGGCATTGTCTCTTTCGGTATCTGCCGCTGAATCTAACAAAATATAATTTTTCTTTTTAATACTTGATTCTTTTATAAATGATAATATCCTTGAAATCGTTAAGCTACCTTTTCCAAGAACTGAGAGAGGGTCTTCAGATTATCCATGTGCCGCCTCAGCTCGTCCCTCACGTTGTCCAATTCTGTTTGACGATCGGTCAAACGCACGCCCAACAGTCCATACCTGTTGTTGATCTCTGAAAGCTGTTGCTGAACCGGGGACAAGTCCTCCAGATGGAAACCATCCTGGCTGGAGCGCCGGCTACTGAAGCCGCTGCTACCACCTGGAGAGACCGGACTTTGAGCAGCATACAATTTAGCGGGAGATGGTGAGCGACCGTCTTGTGACATTCGTCGTACTACAAAAAAAAATTGAGAAAAAAAAACGTGTGAGTTGAGCGAGAAACGAATCGTCGAGTGTTAGAAATGGAGCAATGACAATGTCCAGTCGTTCGATGACTGTTAGTAAAGTAATGATGCTTAAGCTACGGAGTTTTATTTGTTCGTGGGAAGAAGTACAGGATCTATTTATTTTCTTATTTAATAATATGGGGAAACGACATATACCTGGCCTCTTAGTAGGGCTGGTACTGCCGCGACGACGAGTCGGACTCTCGGTGCGTTCCTTCAGCAGACCGTCATAAGCGATTCCAAGATCGTTCACTCTGTCGACGGTGTTACCATAATCGCGATACTCTTTCTGAATCGGTTTCAGTTCGTCTGCCTGTCTCTTCAATTTGTCCAAATCCACGGCCACGGGTTCGAGGGCTTGCACTTTATTTTCTGTACGCGCCAACCAATCGATGACTTGATCGCGCAATTTCTCGTACGCGGACAACTGTTCCGCCCTCGATTTGCTGAGTCGTTGTTTCTCATCGATCAAGTTATTCACTTCCTTCCATTGTGACTCGAGGGCTTTGATTTTATCTCTGATGGGCGCCACGTCGGTGACGTCCTTCTTCGAGATCAAATTCTTTCCATTGCGAATCAAGTCCTCGAAGTTGGCTCGTTGATCCTCGCGTTTGTCCATCAAATTCGTCATTTTGGTCTCGTATTCGGCAACGTCGAGTTTACTCAGGTCTCTGGATTCTAACGCTTCGATCATGTGAGCGTACCAGCTATCGAATTTAGTGGCTTCGACAAGGAAATCGCTGAGAGCTTGGGCGATCTCATCGAGGAATTCACCTCGGCGCAACGACCTATCCAATAATTTCTCAAATCTGCCCTGGACATCCTTCAGCTTGGCTTCTATGCGTTTCGCGATTCTCGCATTACTAGAATTAGTTAACAAATCCTGCGCACTGGTAGATACGGCTTCTACGCTCAAACGATGGCTGTCCAAGTCCGCTTGGAGTAAACGCTGGTCCCTTTGTTGTTCCTCGAGACGTTCCTTCAGCAGACTAGCTGGCCGCTGAATATTCCTATTAACAAACGAATTATTCGTATAATACTTATTCCGAATTGATTAAAAAATATCCAAGCGATAATACTCACTTGAATTGGCTTTCGATATTATTCAACCAGAGCACCAGACTGTCCAAGGCATCTTGCACGCCCTGGCTTCGAACCAAAGCTGCGTCCAGCTCTTGGCACTTCTCAGCGATAGCGTTGGTCAGTTGTCTGTACTTATCTTCGAGAGCTTTAGCTGGTTCCTCGAGCTCGTCTACTTCCTTTGGTGTCAACTGTCCATCGAGGGACCTCAGGAGAGCTTCGACGGTCACTTTCACGTTCTCAACCAGTCGCTCATTCGCCAGCATCTCGTTGTTCAATGCCTTCGCCTTGCTCAACTGATCCTCCACTTGTTTAGGCTCGGCAGCGATCGTTTCTGAAATCGCTCTATGGATCTTTGGTTCTACTTCCTTCAACCAGTTCCTAGCTTTCTCCAGCGATTCACGGTAATCCCTCTGCCTTCCACCGACGCCAGAAAGCTTGTCGGATAACGCGTTAGCGCGGGACAATAGATCTTTGTATTGGGCAGTGACGATCGAAACCTCGCCGCGAACAGGGGAATCCTGACTAGCTATAGGTTCCTTATGAGGCAATCTTTGCGGCAGACTAGTGCGGAACTCGTTGAGAACGTGCAGGAATTCTTTGCTCTCGTCCACGAATTTCTGTGCTGCCATCGTGATAAATCTCAGGTCGGCTTGATGTGCTATCACATCGCTGATAAAGTCTCGCGTGGAGTCTGTGCTGCTGGTCAATCTGTTCAAATCGGACAGCGAGTGCTCCTTCTCTTCGAGGACCCTCCTCGCGTTGTCCAACCAGTGAGAGAACGTAGACAATTCGTTCCTGCGAAAAAAAATCGATATTTAGCAGCTGCAAACAGTTTGTCAAGGTATTTGATCGATGACACGTACTTAAATTTAACCAATTCGTCCCTGGCAGCGATCAATCTCTTCACCATTCTCTCGGTGCGATCCGAGGCTCTGTCAAATCTTGTCTTCAACGATCGACCGTTCCTTTCTAAAGTGGAGACTTCCTCGCTGGATAATACATTGCTTCCGGTCAGAACTACCTGACGGATCTGATCGAGGCAGGAGGAGACTGGACGCGAATGGGCTTCCAGATCCTCTTTGATCTCCTGCAATTATCACAAATCAGTACCGATCGTGAATGATTCGAGTCGACGCGGCGAACGCTTACTTTCATCGCGTTTATTTGATTCCGCAGATCGTCGACGTCTTCCTTCACGTTCTCCTGGTTGGCCAGTTTGTCTTCGACCTCGGAGATCCATTGCAACAATCTCGAGGACGTTTCGTCGCACAACTTGTACTTCTCCTCGACCGCTTGCTATAATTATTTGTAACAGAGAGAAAACGTGCAGGTTGATAATCGCAGGCAAGCAACGTCACGCATCAGTCTATCATCTAACATGCTTTCTTAACGCGTATAAGTAATTGAAGAAGGCCGGCCTCTTACCAACGGCGGCCCGCCTGTGGGGTACAATTGTCAGTCATAAAAACAGAACATAAGCTTAATAAACGTATCTCACGCATGCAAACACATACACACACTTGGAACGTAAAACGTGACACGTTATTTAGAAAAAAAATATATATAAAAAAAAAACACAGGTTTTAGAAGAACCAGGAGATCATGACGATCTGCAGCGAGTAATCGAACTGCATATTTTGTCCCGTACGTGGTTTTTTCTATGCAGCCGCGAAGCGAACGAGAGGACAGATAATAAACGGAAGCCGCGTTCTCGTCACAGTAAGACGCGTACGATAAGCATAATAATTGACGAATTGAACAGGACCGCGAAATGACGTCGAAGTGAATACGAGATGATACGGGACGGAGGTGGGGATACGCGCTTATAGTACGGATTTATAATATACAATATATAAATAGATTTAAATATACAAATACGTGGAGCAATGCTACAATGTGTTCAGAGATTATCCGCAAAACTCGTGCTAGAAAGAAGGGAGCAGGATAAAACTGAACGCAATAATACCTGAAAAAAAGTAAAAAACTTCAATTGTAAATAATCTGATAATAACTGAATAATAAAAACAATTATCACGTTTTCTATCTATGTAGGTACTTTCGTTACTCGTTGATTAAAGGAGGGGTAGATCTGTTCTTATATGTATGTGGCTGATGATAATCTGTTAAGCATGCGATATCACACGTAACACGTGGCTACGTATTCGAGTACGGCTAGTCACTGTTGACTTGTTTAATCATTAATCTTGATAGTATACGTCGTTTACATTTATGACAGTTAAGGATGTATTGGCTATACAGTCAATCCCAAAAGTTTATGCACTTTAGAAACACATTTTTTAAAAAGAAATCAGACGTCGGAAGAACAATATTAATAATAAACAACAAAAAAAAATTTTTCAATTTTTTCGAAATTTTTCCAA